GTAAACACACTGGATCCAAATGTTCAGAATCCAGAAGCTGCTGTGAAACTGTTTGTTTGGAAAAGAACAGCAGGTTAACAAAATAAACAAGTCAGTTTTTAATCATTAGTTCAGCAGATCATGAGCTGTTTCTATCAGTCCTTATTAAGGTCACCCTGTTACCATGTTCTTACAGCATCTAAAACATGATATCTGTCCAAATGTTGGCTTTCCAGACCAAGATATAATAATACATATGGGGTAAAACCAGAACTGTAATCATTACTAAGAAAATGCATTTCATATTTTAAAGCATTTAAAGCACCTGCAGCTCAACATCAAGAAGAACAATAGTGGATGAGATTTAACCAATGCGCAACATTTGTTGCATGTTTCTAACAGAAATGCCTTATGTTGCACGAGAAACCACCAGCACCCACTCCCAGTTCCCCATTTAAGTTTCTGCAGGGGTGCACAAACTATTCTCCAAAGCACTAATCCGTCAAAATGTTTCCATTTGGATCAACAAAATGTCTGTCTCCAAGCTTCACCTTCTTCACATCACAGCTCAGCTTTAAGTCAGAAGTCCAGACCAGAACAAAGAACGAAGTATGACTGAGGATTTTAAGGTTTCAAAAACAACCGGAAGATTAATCCTGATCCTTCATCAAATGATTCCAAAACATGTGAAATGTTTTATTTCTCATCTTTTTTTGCACTTGGGAAAAAAAAACGTTTTTTTCATACTTCAAACTTGAGACAAAAAGTGATACTTGAATTATTTTGCATTTAAGCAATAAAATGTTTTATTAATAAAAGGAACTGAAATGTTTTTTTACCAGTATTTATTCAATTACAAAACTAAGTTTAAAAAAGCCCTAATTAATGAAACTGAAACCATTGAAAAATGAAACATGCTGGACTTTAAGATTATTAGTAACACAAAGAATTTGCAGTTCGGAAATCACGTTGATTTTTCTGACTTGCAATTCAGGAAGTCTAATAACCGAGTCCTTAATTAGCTTAGCATTTAACTCGGACACAGAGATACCAATAGAGCGCCATCAAACCGACACAGTTTCAGAGCCATGGATTCAGATAATCGGCTGAAAAAAACCAGTTACAAACTTTTCCAGAATCAAATTCCAGATATCTCCAGAAGTTTTTGAGATATTTTGTTCAAATGTACAGAATGATTTGAGCACAGATGATCAGTTGGGGTGTCATTATATCTGTAACTCATGAAGCAGCACAACATTGTAGTTGAGCAATGAGCTAAAAGACTAATTCACTGCCTTAATGGGAACGCTCGGATCAGCTGTTCTTAAAAATCTGTAACACCTTCATGGATTGGTTTATTTCTGTATAATGTAGATCTAGGTTCTTGGAAAGTCACAGAACAGAGCTTATGATCTGTTTTAATTAACTTTTCCAAAACTTAATGGAAGTGCAAATGTTTTTAGCGTGTGAATCAGTCCATTTGCTAAAATGTGTAATGTCTGGATTACAAAGTAATCCACACATTACTTTGTAATCCGCACAAAGTAATGTGTGGATTACATTAATGGATGTAATCCATTGGATTACATTACTTTGAATTAAAGTGCATTCATTTCCTAGCAGTGAGTAAGACAAAATCTTGAGGAAGTAATCTCAACATCGATCCATGTAGGTAAAGAAATGAAGAATCTGGTTTTCCAGCCCTGGAGAATCTTGATTTTCTAGATTTTATACGTCTTAGGAGTCTAGTTTTATATATGCCTCTGAGGTTGGGTAACACACTGCTTCACTTCCTTGAAAAAGCAAAGTAAAGAAACACAAAAGATCTGACTCACTTTTTGCAGATTTTTCCAGAGACAAATGATAGAGAGACAGCCACCATTTTCCCACCAAGAACTGTTTTAATGCAAAGCAGAAACATCCAAACTACATGCAGAGAAACAGAAGGACCTTCTTCATTTCTTTGTGGTCTCACCTACCAGTTCATACCAACCATTTCCATTATAGCCAAAGAACTACACCAAATAAAGCAGAAAATGTTGAGCATCAGAAACAGTTTGGAATCCAACTGGAAATTAAAGAATTACACATTTATTCCCATCTACTCTCTAGACCAGTGTTGGGCAACTCCAGGCCTGGAGGGCCGGTCTCCTGCAACTTTTAGATGTGTCTCTACTTCAGCACACCTGAGTCCAATAATGAGGTCGTTAGCAGGACTCTGAAGAACCTGACTGCACTGAGGAGGAGATTCAGCTGTTGGATTCAAGTGTGTTGGACCAGGGAGACGTCTAAGAGTTGCAGGACACCGGCCCTCCAGGCCTGGAGTTGCCCACCCCTGCTCTAGACTCCATTTTAAAAACTGTTGAGAGTTGATGTGTTAATAGACTAGAAGTCATGGGACTTAGGGGGAAAACATTGACATCAGACAGCTGTTCACTGTACAGTTGGTAATATAAATGCAACTGCTGGTAATTAAGTGGAGTACCAAAGAGTTATAACCTTGAACACCCATGCATCTAATTAAGATGTCAAAGTGTGAGACTTCTGCATCAATCTCAATGTGTCCTTGCATCCAGCTGAGGGTGTAGCCACACGTGTGATTTGCTTAGTGATGCGGTTCCAGATGAATGGATTATTCATACTGGGCTGCAGCAGTAGAGCAGCACTGGCAAAATGAATGACTCAAATCATGCCTGACCTGCAAAACGAATCATAAAACTACAAATCAAGGCGCTCAGGTGAACAAGAGTTGCATTTGTTGCACTTATGGACTAGTGCAACAAATTATCTTCATCCCTCTTTCATTCTGAATACAGTCAAATACACATGAATACCACAAATGTTAGATGCTACCTGTCCCCATCATACTAAATATAATCATACTGATGAACTCAACTCCTGAGCTTGGTTTGCAATAAAAAAACATAATTTAGGCTTATCTATAGAGAGTACATATCCTATTCACAATATGTTAATATAAACAACATGTTTAATTCTAAAAACTATTTCTAATTTTGAGTCTGATGCTTTTCAGCAACATTGGGCAGCTAAGGAAAGGAAATAAGTAATACTAGTATTGATAAGTAGGACTGGGACTTAATGCATTAATTTTGATTAATTGACTACATAGATTTTAACGAGTTAAAAATCTTAATTAAATTTTTCCACAAATCCTGAGCCAGATCCTTTGTGTTGTGTTTCTGGTACGCCTGTTAATCTGAACATTCACAAAAAACAGCGATGAATGACAAGTGCATTTTAGAAGTAGTATATACTGTGCATATATTTTGACTATACAACCTTGAATCAAATAATTACTTGAAACTACAACACAATGTATACATAATTATGAATAAGTACTTATTTACACAAGTACATACCCTAACACAACATTTTTTATTGTGATTCATGAGATAGAAGATTCTAGGAGAGTACAGTCAAAGGATCTTAAATGATTTAAAATATGTGTTGAAATTCAATTATTAAAACTGGTTTCACATTGTGAAAAAAGGAACTAGCAGCTGATGGGATACATGAGCTGTAAATACAGTGGAATAAATACAGAGTTGTACTTATAGCACTGTGATGGTTGTTGAAAAACATTTCAACTAAATTTCAAAGTCTTTCTGAGCAATAAACAGCATCACTACAATAATCAACATATCTAGACTGAAATGCCTGGTGGATCAAATTAGCATCATACCAAAAATGACACTAATGGTAGATGTGATGTCCACATTTATAATCTCTAATTAATTTAATTTGCAGTAAAAGTAATAATTTTTGTGCAATTTGATATAAATTCAGGCTTTAAGTGGATATACATTGAGATATCTGACCTAAAACAAAGCCCCCTGTGAAGGAGCAAAAGCAACAATAAGCACCCTCAACTTTCGTGTAAACTGGGCGCAACGCGATCCCCCATCTGGCTCACACTTCGTTTAACAACAAAGCCACTGCCTACGTGTTTTCCTGCTGAAGGGGGTGGGGACGGCTGAGTGATGGAGGCTGCTGATGGCTGATGTTGACCCCACCAATTTATTTAAAAAGCAATCCATCCTGGCTGGACAGAGCAAACCATCTCCAATAACCAGAGCTTCCCTGTTCACACTGTACTGTTGGGGGGGACGGTGGAAGGTGGAGGGGGGCATTACAGTGAGCAGGAGTGGGAGGGAGGAAGAGGAGAAGGAAGAGGGGGGTGGACACCGATGAAGTTGTATTATGAGATAACGTGGTAAATCAACTTTTTTTTTCCTCGACAAAGAAGCGGGAGCACGTGCAGGACGTTGCCTTGGCAACTGGAAGTAATCGACCTGCGGAGTTTTTTAACGTTAAAAGCCGCCGTTTCTGGCAACAACACGGGGCTGGAGCGAGCAAACAATGCCTGAAAACAGCATCTGCGTCCCTATGGCTACCCGAGCCAGATGGCTGGAAGACAATAAACTCCGAACCTCACACCGTGAACTTAACTTTAGCTCCGGACACGGTGGATAAACGTGGAGCAACTCAACGATTAATGCGAATATTAATATAATATTTCCACATAATGACTGTTTAAGTTAATAACGTTTTAGAAAACGAATGTGTTGAGTAAATATTCATGTTCTGGATAGTTTCCCCTCACTTCTCCGTGCAGATTTCAACCAAAACGTTGCTCTTTAACGTAACCTGGAGCAAATAACAACAAACATGACCTCTAATAGTTACTTCTTTTGGTAGGTGTCAGTAAATATAACAGACATGTAAACAATGCTAGGAGTAAATGAGGTAAACTTCTTTAAAACATTTTCCAACTTTAAGGAGCTGGGAGCAGCACCTGAAGCTGCCTCCTGTTAGCTAACAGGATTGCCGTTAACGGCTGAGAAGTTCAGAGAAGCCTCCATAAGCTGGTTAACCGAACCCGGCCGGGCTCAAATGCGACCGACCGATCACGTAAGCAGAAAGTGCTGACACAAACAGCTCCTCATTTCCGGATTAAAGGACATCCGTGTGGCCGCAAGCCGCCGCGAACGAACCCTTACCTCTATTTCAAAGTCTGGAAGCCGGAACGCCGTCCTGAACAGCGAGCAGAAGTGGGCTATGGCGGGGACTTCCCACCAGGACTGGACCTCTTCCACAGAAACGGGACATCCCTGGGACATTTTGGGATCACTTAAAGTGTGTAACGATCCTTCCTCACATAGGAAAGTAGCTTCTTCAGTGACTCAGAACTCCTCCGGAACATTACAAACAAGAAGAAAGTTGTCGCTCCCTTCCTGTTGGAGCGGTTGCCATTGCGACCAGCGGAGCGCTACGATCTGCTTCAATCAGTGTCTCAACGGAGCCGAACAGATGGAATGGACCGTACCATTCCGGCTACAACAGGGGGGTAACAACGAGTCAACACCGGTTAAAAAACTACTTCTAAAGATGTAAAGACACCAATCTGGCGGAAGTGTTTTTAGTTAAGCAGTAGCAAACAGAAAAAAAACATATTTACATTTAGATTTGCTTTTTAAAATAATATGAACCGCGAAACTATGACCGGACCCCACCAATTAGATGATGTGCTCCTCGTTTAAAGGGAACGATAGTAAAACACAGAATGACGAAGAAACTGAAAAAGTTACGCAATGCCTGACTGGTGATTCATTCTAGTTTGTTTTTTTCTTCGGATTTGGTTTCGTCTAATCTGTTAATTGTTAACGTACAATTCAATAATAAACGTTACTCTTTTATTGTCTAACTCTGATTTTCTGTTAATTGTTGTTTACTAATTTCTAGGGAATTTTGTTCTGTACAGAATAAGACTCAATAACTTCGGGTACAGCGATATTTTGTGAACAGCAGTGTTGAGTGAAAGTTAAGCTACGCAGGGGCTCCCCCTACTGTTGTTATTAAGTATTGCACGATAGATAGATGTAGGAAGGGATCAGCATCACTGTGGCTCCAAGCATCCTAATAAATACTAGAGCAAAACTAACTGTTATTATGTTTTATTAGAAATCTATTAAATTTATTTCATTTTTATATGCAATTACTAGAAAAAGCAGAAGGTTAGTTTTACATTAAAAGATATGAACAGTTCTTGTATGGCAACTCTTGTAAAGATGTGATTGTATTTACCACTCTAACACTTTGGATTAAGTGTTTTAGACTACTCTAATCTATTCTGTTGTTTGTTTTTAATATTATTATGGTTCTTAATAACAAAACGGTAGAAATCTGCAATAGATTTTCTAACAATGGTATCTTTATATTCTACTTTGGGAAAATATTGATGAATGCAGACACACTGCGGAATATTTTCACTATTATTTTTATTATTTCGTATTTATTTTTAAGTAATTTTTTGTATTTATTTGATTTTTTTTTTTTTTTTTTTTTTTTTTTTTTACAACGCTGCAGGTTTGCCTGTTAGCATTCAGGTTGGCCAGCAGGTGGCAGCAGCTAGCCATGTCAGTGTTCGGCCATCTCTGTTGCTTCAGATTCTGCGGTGACAACAGTCTAACTCTGACCTAAAAGGCAAAAGAAATTAATTTCTGGGGAAAAACCTTCGTTTTTGTTTTTGGCTGAACATTTTATAAAATAGAGTTAAATTTGTACTGTGGTATACTATTTATTTGCCACAAAGTTCTAATGTTTAGTATATTTTGATCCAAGTACAGAATAAGGTGAAGTCATTGACTCGTGTTTATATTTAACATAGTAGGATAAAAATTATTTTTGCTACATACATTTGCGTTGAGGTATTTCCTCTATTATAAACTTTCATGAAACAGTAGAAGTCACAAAGGTAAGAGTGTACTGTAAAGTTCAATTAACTAAAATAATTTAATTTAGGTTTACGATTGTAAATAAATTGTAAATCGTAAACCTACGATTGTAAGCAAACAAGACCTTTAAAAAGTATACTCTTATAAGATTGAAATGTTCTGATTTAGTCCAAAGAAGTATTAAACGAACATGCTTTAGTGTTCTGCAGGTAAATGATCTTTAGTGCACTTGCAATAAATGTCAGATATACTTAATAAAATGATCTTTGTCTATGAACATATGTTCTTTAATTAAACTCCCTGCCACTGTCCAGGCTCCAATTAACCTATCAGAGGACACCAAACCCATGACATCATCATCTGGACTTTCCCTGTTATTTAAAGTGACAGTAACCATACTTCTGATTCAGAAGGCTAATAAAGAAATCCCTGACAAATTCTTTCTCGCATTATTGTAAAATGTATCAAAAAGAAATTATTTTGGTGATTTTAAAAATCTTTATTGATTCCCAGGGTTACAAAACATTCACAATACCATAATGCTAATTTCAATACTTAAGAAAAGAGAAGTAGACCTGTGCATTAAAATAAATAAAACAACTGTTACAACTCTATTTCCTAGGGAAGGATTATAATGTTATGAAACACAAAACAGAAAATAATAATAATAATAATAATAATAATAATAAATAGTAAGAGATACAAAGAAATAAATAAAATACACAAACTAAGAACATCAAAATAAAATTAGATCCTCTGAGTTTAATTTCTAACTTTGCCACCATAAACTAAATTGTTTGGCTGATATTTTTTCCATTTTATATGTCAAATGTTGCATCCATTCAGTCATGTAGAGTTGGTCTGTCCTGATAGCCAATAACTTTTCTGATTCTGACCAAAAACAAGAGAAGTTTGGTCTAATTTAACTTCAGACAAAGAGAGAAAAATGAATATATATAAGCTTCTGGTTTAATCTGTGTATTTTTATATTTGGGTAAACTTTTGTACTTTGAACTTTTGTCCCCTAATAAAAATAAAATAGGAGAGCACGTTTGGTCCCAATTGGAAGTCTGTGAACATTGTGGCATTCAGTGGGTCTGTGTGGATATTATGTAATGGCAGGAGAGTTGCACAGTGAGCTCATTAGTGATGGAAAACCTCCTTTGTTGGAGCTCAGCTTGTGTTGTTACATTTCTAGATGAAATACACACAGAGATCCAATTATTGACATCAGTCTCTGCATTTCTGTACACCACAGGTTATGTTGGGATGTGTTAGTTTAGAGCCAGTAGCTGTGACACAGAGAGAGAGAGAGAGAGAGAGAGAGAGAGAGGGGGAGAGAGAGAGAGAGAGAGAGAGAGAGAGAGAGGAAGAGAGAGAGGGAGAGAGAGAGCGAGGGAGGGAGGGACTTTGGCTGCAGACAATGCTGGTGTTTGTGCAGGGGCCCCTGAGTGGCGGCTGGCTTTCTCACATCGCTCTCGCTTGACTACCAGTTGCTGAGCTGAAAGGAAAGCGGACTTCTTCATCCTGATGAACTGACAGAGGAAAGGTAAGATTTTTTCCTGAACGTTGTCTCACTGCTGTGCATTTCGGAATCTATGTCCAGGTTTTTGTGGGAGCTGTATGTTGGCTTGGGTTGAGGCACCCTTGTCTGTGTTTTGGCAGAATCACTACTGTGTGTGTGAAAGGAAAGTTTTACTGAAAGACACTCAGTTTAAGGCTCCACTGGAAAAGACTGAGTTCAGCAGAGAACAATGATTATTATGGTAGGAAAGTTCCTGAAAGAGGAGGCGGTGGAGGCATTGGGAGGTGATGCAAAATGCTTGTGTTACTAAAGGATAGAGCGAAGATTTACGACGGTAAAAATAGACAGAATGGAGGTGGAAGGATTAAGAGAGGAAGATTAATGAGTGTGAAGGGAAAATAGAAATCAGAGAAAAAGATGAAGCTAAGAAAGCAGGAGAAAATCCTTACTGTCCGTCACGCATTTCTCAAAAAAGTCTTAAAACTAACCAAACGTCAGACTGTTTAAACCTTTATTTGCACGTCCTGTTTGGTTATCTGTTTTAGAAAGTGCAGTTAAATGACAGCGACACACCTTCCAGCTCTGCCCTCCTTGTTGGACGAAATCCTTTCCAGCTGACAGATTAGAGACACTAAAGATACTAAAGTTTGACAGGATTTGCAACTGAAGTCGTATGAATGAGTTTCAGAAAGCATAAAAACCTGACAGTACGAACCTGCAGGTAACTAACGGCAGGGCTTTGCAGAACAATAAGTGTGTGTTTTATGTAATCCATGTGACTGATTGTGTTTTGTGCGCCCAGACAGAGAGATGGAGGTCTGAAGTTGTGTCCAGCTTTTCTGCTTTTCTGCACCTCAAACCAAATTCATCATCCAGCTGTCGAGCAGCATATAAGAGGGTGTCCGCCCAGACTGCATTTCTCAGCTGAATAAATCAGCTGGGACGGGATTATAGCACGTGAGAGCTGAAAAAAACACCTGGAGGGCGACAGGTGGAGAGTTGGAGCTGGGTAAAGAGCCCCGAAACCACCAACATGGGAGACAAGAAGGTCAGGTAAGAAGCTGTCTGCTTCACTCAGCTTAGGACAAAGTCCCTCAGTGTTTTCTGGAGCAATATACCAAAATATAGTTTATTTTTTCTCAGCAATTACAAACTCTATTTCAAAAATCTTGGTACCAAAATAAAGCAAACAATTAGGAAACTCCACCAGAAGTGTAAACATCACAGCAGCTGCTATAGTTGAAAGAAATGAGGATGGAATATTAAATAATTTGGATTTTTTTGCATTGTACAATACCTTTCAGAAATACCATAAGAAAAGTACAAACGTCTGGAAACCACAGCTGTGCACAGACTGATGCAGCTGCGCTAAACTGAAGCAAACCTACAGACGTTGTAGAAAGGAAAGCCTAGGCCTTTGTTTCCAACAAAACTGGAGGTTTTTCATGAGATTTTTTTTTATCAAACTAAATTCAAAAATATTTTATTGATCCCAAAGGGAAGTTAAATTCTGTTGTGGCTCATATTAATTCAAATTATTCAAACAGTTATTGCAGATAGTGATGGCTGTTGGCAGGAAAGCTCTTGTGTGGTTAGGACAAGGGTGTAAGAAAATGGATGGATGGATGGAAAAAATTAAACAAAATATGTACTTTTTTGGCACTACCAGAGCTCCACACGATGTCTTTTGATGAAAGTTACTGATGTCTGTCCAGCAACCCATAAATGCTTCCTGCTCAACTCAAATGCTCCAAAGGTTTTTATCAGCTTCTAGCCAACGGCCTGTCGTTTCCATGGATACCAAATGTGTTTATGTTCAACTGGGGGAGATGAAACAATGAGTGAAGGAAAAAGGTTAAAATCTGCCCCTGGAACTGGCAGCGTGGCCAGTCTTAATGTTTATACTTTACATGGTGCAGTCCAAGTTTTCATTTCATTTCTGCATCTGTGTGTGTGTGTGTGTGTGTGTGTGTGTGTGTGTGTGTGTGTGTGTGTGTGTGTGTGGCTGATCCCTTTCAGTCTCCCTGCTAAGCTGATTAACGGGGGCGTGGCGGGCCTGGTTGGTGTCACATGTGTGTTTCCTATTGACCTGGCGAAGACCCGCCTACAGAACCAGCAGGGCGTCCAGGTCTACAAGGGAATGTAAGTGGGGTTTCCTCCGCAGGCGTAATCTGCTTCTGTAACTGATCTGCCCAAACAGACGGAGATGGGCTGCCTGTTTTTACCCAACGGGATGATTTATTTAACACGACTCCTTATATTAAAACAGATCTCTCTTCCTCCAAACATTAACGATGTCTGAGCTACATCTCCTCCAAATGATGCTAGACATTTATCAAGCTTAGATTAGTTATCAGTGTGGATGCCTTTCTGGTAATGAGGCAAACGTGCAAAATATTTTGTACATTTTGAAGTTACAGTTATGTATCCATTGTCTTAAATATTTCACGCCAAGTTTAGTTTTTGTCCAGTTTATTGTGAAGCAGGAAAAAATCAGAGTATAACTTCAGCGTTTTTAGTTGAAAACAGAAACATTTTTGGCCCTCTAGTATGGAATGCTGTTTGTAACGTTATTCAGTCAAAAATTAACACTGACGATTTAGGTTACTTAACCCATCATAAGAGCAATAAAAATAGGGATGAATTTATCAGTCATATTTTCACCATATGATTAATTCACTTATTTATAAACAGCAAGATATAAAACTGAACATTCAATTATTAAGCTAAATATTTAGCTTAGTTTGAAGCTAAGGATTTCGCTTTAGCTACTATCCAGAACAATCCTGGAGTAAAAATCTGTTGGATGCTGCAGAAGAGCTGAGACTCGGGTTTAGGTTCCCCTTCCAGCAGGACGACCAGCCTGAACAAGCAGCCAGAGACATTATGAGACAGTTTGAACCAAAGCAGATGTATCGGTTAAAATGGCCTAGTTAAAGTCCAAGCATGAATCTAAATGAGAATCTGTGGAAACACTTGAAAATCGATGCTCACAGACACTTTCCATCCAATTTTACTGAGCTTGAGATGTTCCTCCTTCTGTAATAATACTGTGTTCATAAACACATTTCTGTTTTTATTTCCCAACTTATTTTTCAAACATCTGAACTGATTTGACCAATAAAGCTGATTCTGAATCTGAAGAATGTGCGAAGTAATCCTCAGTCTGCAGCGGTTAAAGCTGGTGGAGGTCAGTTTATTCTGCAGGTTCTGCTACGAATACAAGATTATGTTCAGGAATTTGCTTTGGCAGGAAACCAGAGGTAAATCAGGACAAAACTATGACTTTTAAACTTAAATGTATTTACAAAAACGTGATCACTTTTTCCCAAACTTCCTGGTTTTGTTTTGTTGTCATGGTAACTGGAACCACATCTACTTAGTGAAATATACTCTAAAGTATGAACACAAATCTGCTTATATTTGCTGTATTGAAACTTGGCTAAATACAGGAAGTGTTTTCAAATGAAGACTGATCCAAATCCTAAAGAACAGATAAAATATATTTATTCAGTTTCCTTCAGTTAAATAATAGTCTGGATGTCTTTCATTTAAAACAATCCAAAAACCATTTGAAGCTACAATCCTGTTTCTACAAAAAAAATCTCATTATTTGCTTAATCAGACAGTTCATACTTGTTTTATTGTTGAGTAGGTAAAAATAACCACTATATTTTTGATGATTGTACTTTTTAAAAATGATATTTTGAGTTGACAGAAGGTTTGGAAATCTGTGAGGTTTGTGTTGAAGTCACAAAGGGAAGCTGCTCTAAACTCAGTCAAATCTTTGTTTTTATGATGATATTAACACTTACAGCTCAGATTATTTCACATTCGCTCATATTATCAGAGGTAAAGATGAGTAGAGAACAGAAAAGCAGAGGCGGTGTCCTTAAGCAGCACAGCGACCCAGAGGCTTGATCAGCACACATCTGCTGGCCGGGCGTGGCCGTCCTGTTGTGCTCTGCAGCCTGTGGGTTTCCTGTGACTCATACATGGAAAATATCTGGGATAACTTCTCTGCAACACAGTCAGACACCATTTTCTCAACTTCTTCACTTTAAAACAGCCAGGATTGCTTGAAAGCTACCCAAAAACCCAAATGTATCAGTATAAATGAAGGAATAAGACTGCTAATTCAACCCTTTGCAGAATATGTTGTAAACATAAAGTGATGAGAAATGTAATGGCTGTTTTTGTTGTTCTAAAGGTTTGACTGTCTGGCAAAGACGGTGCGAGCAGAGGGCTATTTCGGATGCTACCGAGGTATCTAATCCACAAAACTACGATGTTGTTGTCCTGCAGAGCTCAACTCTTTTTACGGTGATAACCGGTGAACCATCTGTGCTCTGTGGTGACCCCCTAAGCTGCTGCTCTTTAGGCCTGTTTCTATTTGTGGAGACAAACATTAGCCTGTTTGTTGTTTCCAGGAGCAGCCGTAAACCTCACACTAGTTACGCCAGAAAAAGCCATCAAACTGGCCGCCAACGACGTCTTCAGACAAAAACTCTCAAAGGACGGGTAATTTATCTTCTCCTCGTCATTTGATGCATCAACACTGAAACGTTTGAAGGGAATTAATCAGACCAGTTTTACTTGTGGAAAATTTCTAAATGTTGCTTGCAAATTTTTAAATTATGTAAATCCATTTCTGTGGAAGCCCATTTCCACCAAGAAAGACAAATAAAAGGAAGCAATAATTACTGGAATAAAACTCATAAGTAGGACTTTTATTCTTGTAATTAGAACTTTAAAACTGAATTGTGACGTTTATTCTCATAATGATGAATTCTATTCTCACAATTAAGATTTTAAAACCGGTCATTATAAATTTTATTCTCATAATTACAACTTTAAAACTCTGAATTTTGACTTTTATTCTCATATATAAATGTCATTCTTGGAATTGTGACTTTAAAACTCATAATTATCCTGGCGGTCTTTTGTTTTTTCTCTCATGGCAGAAATGGGCTTCCATACGTAATGCATGCAGTTTTAGTGTAATTACCAGTCCAACTGACTTACTGGGAATGTGGTAACACACTGCTTTGCCCCAGGCATTTGCCCCTGTGGGGGGAGGTCCTGGCGGGGTGCGGGGCAGGGACCTGCCAGGTGGTCGTCACCACTCCTATGGAGATGCTCAAGATCCAGCTGCAGGACGCAGGACGGCTGGGTGAGGCTTTCAGGATTTTCCCAGAATCGGAGGAATCGGAGCCCAGGAGTCTCTGCTTCCTGACCTCGGGTGTTTTCTGTTTCCAGCCGCACAGCGACCCGTGGCAGCTCCAACCCAGGCGGCGGCGGCTCCCGGTCCGGCGCCGTCGCTGGTGGCCCCGGCGGCGCGGCGGCCCTCGGCGACCGGCATCACGGCGGACCTGCTGAAGACCCGCGGCCTGGCCGGCCTCTACCGGGGCGCCGGCGCGACCTTGATGAGGTCAGAGCAAAGACCCGCAACGAAACGCTGAGGAAAAGTTTTCACACCCTCACAGATTTCTGCTGCTGTTGCTTCGTTGATCCACAAAAAACAGTAAAAATCTGTAAATCTGTTATTTTAAAGCAAAGTTTACATTTACAGGTGGTGCATTCATATCCCTGCAGATTTAGGTTTAGAATAATCTTCTAAATCAGAGGTCTTCAACATGAGGGTGGCAACACATCAGTGGTCGCAGAAGGACTGGAGAGGGGTCATGAGATTTCTGATTATTTACAAATAGTTATGCATGTAAATTCAAAGAATTGTCTTTAAATACATATTAACATGAACCCAACACGTAACACACATCTAAAATGACATGAAATGATGCATTTCAGTCCGAAATTAAGCAACAGTCTCTTCATTATGTTCTGTTTTTATGCAAAATAAAACTGTTTGTCAGAGTCATTATAAGCCTTTTGATTTGATAAGCCTATTATTCTCTGAGCATCTCTGTTGTTACTGATCCAGTTTCTGACTATCCAACTCTGCCTGGAATATTCTCTGATCAACCAATCAACACTGATCAATAGAGTCCTGCAGCTATGTCTGGTTGTTACGCTGCTGAACTGGTTCATCTCTCATCACTCCATCGGGTTTTTCTTTCCAACTTTTCTAATGCTTCTTTGCAGGGATGTACCCTTCTCTATGATCTACTTCCCTCTGTTTGCCAACCTTAACGCTCTGGGCCGGCAGAGCGCAGGGGGCCAGGCGGATGTTCAGGCCCAGGCGCCGTTCTGGCAGTCCTTCGTGGCCGGCTGCTCCGCTGGCTCGGTGGCAGCGGTGGCCGTCACGCCGCTGGACGGTGAGCAACTTTACGCTGATCAGTATGCTACATGGACACATACAGTGCATTACAACTTTAAACTTAAATGTGTTTTAATAGGATTTTGTCACAAACCATGTGTGAAAAAGCACATGATAGAAAGTGAAAGGAAAATTATGTTATAAATGAAAATCTGAAAAGTACAGTGTGTATCCATCCCTCGAGTCAAACTTGTAAATTTCAATTGTAATCTATGTAATAATTGCTTAGATTTTATTAATGGCATTTCTTTACATAGGAACTCTTCTATTTGAGAGTTTCTGGTACATCCGTAAATCTGACGCACAAGCTACATCCGCCCACAGCGATGGACAACGAAGCTGCTTCTGCTGGACCACTGGGGTTAATGTCTGGTTCTAAACTGATCTGATGGGACGATGGGAAACACTACTGTTGTGTTCAAGGAGTTAGCCATCAGCAAAGCTCCTCCAGCCTAAAATAGCATCTCAATGCCAAACATGCAGCAGTTAACGCTAATGTCCATGAATGGTCAGGGTTCCTGAGACTCTGGAAAACACTTTGCTCCAATCTGATGGTTGAAGGCCAGATTGAAAACTATAAATACCTTCGTTGTTGAGCTCATTTAGCTATTTATTCAATAATTTAACAGCAAAAAAAGGGCTTTCAATTAAAAATGTTGCTTATTTTGTCTATAATTGTGATTAATTATAAACCCTTCAAAATCAAAAATACTTTATTGATCCCAAAGGGATATTAATTAACTTGATTCAAAATTGTAATCAAGTTTCAGCATTAATTTTGTGCATCTCTTTACAGACTTTGCATTTTTAGAGACATTTTGTTCATTTTTCTTTGGAAAACAGGTCAAACTCAGTCAGATCGGATGGAGAACGTCAATGAAGACCAATTTATATATCTGTACATTTTTATACTGCAAATAGTATAAAACAGAGTAATTCTGCTTTAAATGTTCACAGTGATAAAGACTCGTCTGCAGACCCTGCAGAAAGGCGAAGGGGAAGACTCGTACAGAGGAATTGTTGATTGCACAAAGTAAGACTGCAGAGCAAAGAGCTTCACGGCTCCTTCCTGCATCTCTCTTAAAACTGAAGTGACAGTTTCAACAAACATGTAATAAAAATCTATGTTCTCATAAAAGTTACACACTGCAGCTTTAAGTCGTCCTTTCTCTGAATTTTCCAGACGCATCATGAGGCGGGAAGGACCGTCGGCGTTCCTGAAGGGCGCGGCATGCCGGGCTCTAGTCATCGCTCCCCTCTTCGGCATCGCGCAGGGCGTCTACTTCCTCGGGTTCGGAGAGGCGGTTCTGGGTTTACTGGGATAACAGCGACTGGTGGCGGTGAAGGAGAAGACAAAGAAGGAGAATCCCAGCTTCATTCTCCAGAAAAATGGAGTTTCTCTGGTTTCACCGCCTGGCAGTGAGGTTCTGATGGGTAACCAAGGTCCGGAGTAACTAACCCCAGTCCAGGTGTTCCCTTCACCTGAGGGAGGGAGGATTCTCCCGCTGGCTGTAAAGAAAGAACTGCTGGATATTTTTACAGCTGCTAAACTAAAATGCCTGACAGTGTGAGCGTTTGAATTTCAGGAAGTGACCCATTTACTTCATATCTGAAACGACCCGATGCTTAAAGCAGCAGCTCCGTTACGCATTCCTCCCACTCCTTCCTGTAGGTCACAGTAGTAATCTGGTCTTCTGATTAAATCTCTATAATCTCTATAAGGTCATTTGTTAATCTGATGGTAATCCCTTTAATCCCTGTAATAGTGTACATTTCAATTTACAACACAGCTCACTTCCTGTTAAAAGGCCACAGGTTAGAGTGCAGGACAACACGCCGCCTTCCCGGGTTTTCACTTTAAATAAGAACAATAAAGATAAAGTTCCCTCCTTATTTATGGTTTGCTTCAAATAATGTGCGCACAACAACAAAGGACAATGCAATCAACGCCTTATCAATGCTGTTAGTTTTAAACTTTATAACAAGTTAAAGGATTTTGTTTTTAAAAAGCTAATCTGTGGAGTTACAGGTAATTTATGCCATGATGAAACATTTCCAACATCAGGGCGGTTCTCTAACCCTTCATATAGCTAGACAACTGGTGCCAAAAATTAATAAAACAATTCAAACTTTTTTTCTCACCAACATTAAATCAGAACCTTTTTTTGGTTTAGGTCAGTTAGGATTACCAACACTGTTTCTTTTTACTAAATGTCAGAATAAGGAGATAAAATCAATTAATTTAACAAATAAAACTGTTTAATTTGGAATGGAAACAGAACTGCTGTCCTCATCTTCACTTCAAAATAAGAGCATGAATATAAACTGAATTCAACTGAAAGTTCACAAAACAACAACCAAATAAATTAACATTTTAGAATTTATCCAGAAAAATTAATTCAGGAGAAGCTAAGTGCGCTAAATGTTTTCAAAGTTGGCAAAAGTCCTACATGAAAAAATAGTTCTGCTATCAGCACAATAGAGGATTAACAGAAGTCTGGCCAACAGCGAGCGCAGCAGTCAATAACCAAACTTTTTATAACTGAAAGTTTACAACCAACTAAGTATTTTATCAAGAAAAGTTAATTTAAGAGGCGCCAAGTACATAAAATCTTTTCAAAGTTAGCAAAAGCACTAAACAAAAAAACTAGCTGTGTCCAGTTCTCAAAGGTCAATTCACCACATTTCAGTTTAAATGAAGGAAAACCAGAAGCATGGCAGCAACTTCTGGTTGCTGCCTCAATCAGAAGGTGAGGCAGCAAAGAAATTGGACGGTAAATATTAAAAATATGCCTAATTTTTCTGTCATTTAACAAATAAAATGTAATTTTGTTAATCTTAACAGACAGAAAAGAGGAAAGGTTTACACAAATTTAGTGTCTTTTTACATAAATATCTGGTTTTTACTGCAACACAAACATGACTTAAGCTGAATTAACTCCATCCCATCAAGTGAAGATACTGACTGCTGGTAACATCCCAACAAAACCCCACTTTAAAACTACTCCATTAGCTGTAAATGGTAATACTTTGCTAGAATTCAAATTTAGACAGGAGAGTTTTAAATCTTAGACAGAAGCAGGGTAGTAAGGCGCCTCGTCTTACCAACCGCCAACACTTAAAGCCACAAGGTGGCGCTAAGAGGTCGTTTGTTTTTACATTTTAATACCAGACAGATGTGTTTCCATAGCATACAGTACTACCTTTCTTCTGTTTTGTAGAGAGAAAATAGCTGAAGAAAACTGTTTACACACTGTAAATAAAGAGATCTCCAACATGTTAAACTGTCTCCAATTTATTTCTTTTGGCTGTTAAACATCAAATAAACATAAAAATGTTTTCCAACAACATCAGCAGCAGATTTCACAGTTTAAGATCTCTTTGGGTGAGGTAAGGAGGAAATAAGAGCTACTGCTGTGTTACGTTTAAGCCCAGACGCTTTCTGAAAACACTGATCAGAGTTCAGTTTGACCTGAAAACTTGAATTGCTCTCCTGTGAGGAAGGTCAGGGGTCACCTGGACGTTTCCAGCGACGTTCTCCTCAAATTAATCCAAGAATCTGCGGTTGGGGTTGGAACCGAATAAGGTCTCTCTGATTTCAGGCATCATCTGGAAGAAAAAGGTGTTTCCCATGGCAGAGAGTCAGAAACAGGAGAAAACACTTCAGTAACTGCATCTAACCAACATCATGTGTAAAAAATTCATACCAAACTATGAATCAGACGCTTAACGCAGAGTATCAGGTTCAGACTAAGAAAACAAACTATTACAAGTAGAATAAAGATGAGAAAAAAGTTGTAAAATTATGAGTAAAAATGTTTTAATGAGAAAAAAAACGCTGATAGATTTATTAAGGTCTGACGTGATCAACTCAGCAAGTCTGTGGTTCTTTCTTCAAAAGAGAGAAATCGTTTCAAAATCCTGCAGCTAATAATTTAATGTTAAAGTATCAAAATACAACTACACAAGATGCTCAACATTTCACTCTTTTTTTTTTTTTTGTGTAGGAGTTTGCTAAAATTACTGTTATTCTCCCAAAATGATGATTTTCTTCAGATTACTTTTCATGTTACCTAGACTTTATTCTCATATTATTACAATTTTATTCTCGTTTAATTATGATTATTCCAGTAATATTACGACTTTGTAATTTAATTAAAAAACGGAACAGGCTGAAAATGTTCTGAAGTTTTCAGGTTTTTCCTACTGATGGAGTTATGCTGCCCCCTGCAGACACATAACAGAAACTGCATGCAATGATTTTACATAGAAATCCAAATTTCTGCACTTTGTTTAATGTATTATACCTGCTGTGCTACGAGATCCAGTCTGCTCTCCAGGGTGTTGGAAACCTTAATCTTTCCATTGTTGTTGTAGACTTCAACGCCGCCGCAGCTGTGGAAACGCAGGACAGATTTACTTTCACCAAACTCACCTGCAGCAGCCTCTGGTCCGCTGTGCTGCAGGTTTTAAATCTGGTTCCGAACAGCTGAATTACATGAGGAGATAATTAAATTCAAGCTATGATGGATTTCACCATCTTACATGTCTGATGGAAGGAAGTGATCCTGGTCAATCCGGACAGTTATGTTGCTCTTCACCGTCTCCTTGTAGACAGCGACGTTCTTGTTAACTGCAGCCTGCCGAGTCATCATAGCACACAGCTTTATTTCACCAACCCAAACCGTTACCATGGAACGGTTTGGGTTTTTGGTGAAGCAGAAAAGCTAAATTACCTGAACCATGTCTACATCCTGCTGTCGGCAGCGGATGGTGACTTTAGGCTCCAGCAGCTGGTAAAACCCCTAAAATGTAGAAATAAATAAAAAGAAACAGCTGTCAAAAAAACTAGAAAACGTTTTGGCAGTGGTGGGCACACTTATACTATTATTTTAGTGGCATTATTATTAGATCTGGTATTATTTTAAATCTATTTTGTAATTTAGTAAGAAACGATGTACTTTTTCCATATTAATTTTGCAAAAATATTCAACATCCAAAAGAAGGAAACGTATGCACCTTCTTTTCAGGAAATATCTTGTTTTTCTTTATTTCAAAATCTAAAAACAGAAATAAAATGTTCTTTAAAAATAACTAAATTTCTGCTATCAAACATTAAGTTCCCCTTTTTTAAAGGTCTTGAAACATTTGCGGCTTTAAACAAGTCTTGCTTAGCTGGACTGAAGGTTGTAAACGCCTTTAGCGTTAGCAGAACCAATGTTTACGATTAGCGCAGCTAACTTTTTATCTAGGGTCGCCTACCACTGCTCTTGGTGTAGCGTTACTTATTATCCTGAGCTCACCTGAAGCACCAGACCCTCCAGCAGCTTGGCGTACCTGTCCGGGTCTTTGGCGATGTCGGCGATTCTTTGGCGAGCCTCATTCAGCAGATCCTGAACATAAACACAAGCTGAAGGTTTTCAGACCCGCTTATCGGTAAATATTGTAGCTCAAACACTTCTGCACAGGGTTTTGGTGTTAAACAGTTTCTGCGTCCGTGTAGTACAGTTTTTCCTCAAACTGTGAGCGCCCCCTAGTGGTTCACAAGGTACTGCATGTAAGCGACCGTTGATCTGACGTGAGGTGAGCTTAAACAGTTGGGTGACCCAACGATGGTGTTGAGAAGTAATAATGGATGAAACCGGGTCACTCAAAAGAAAAACTAAAGATGGAAAGAAAACATTGGCAGCCAAGTCAGACCTATACCATACCATACCAACTTTATTTATAAAGCACTTTAAAACCTGCTGAGAGTTTCGATGTGTCGTTCACCAGCAATTCGATTCTTTTGAACGGCTTATATTGCTCTGCTCGCACTTATTATTTTTCTTTAATTAAAAGTGAATTAAATGGAAAATAAATACAATTGACAAAAATGGGTGTCTAATTTTTATATTTAATAGGACAGAAGATTTCCGTTTCTGCCAAAGTAAATCAAGTCTATTTTTATTTTACTAAGCTTCTACATTACAAATAGCCCTAAAATGTTGTTAAATAGAGATTTCTCTTTAGATTTCCATGTGTTTGACATAACTGAATCCACACCTTCAGAATCTGTAAATACCTGAAAACACTGGCTGTGTTACCAAACAGCATCACCGTTCTCATTAGGATGAACAAAGAAAACAACAATAAGCGAGCTAAGAGAGCAATAATTTAATTTCAGGTTGCATTTATTAAGATGTTGTATAATTGCAGGGCAATTTAAGGCTAGGTGCGTTTTTGTTAAATGGTCCTCAGCCTAAGAAGGTGTTAGGATCTGACCGTCACCATGTCGTCTCGGGCCTTCAGCACCTTCAGCCTGGCTTGGTTCTTCAGTTGGGACATCTGGCTGAGGAGAGACAATTCCTGATAAGAACATCGCTCTGACTTCTCAGATTAAGGAACATAAACCTTAAAAACTCACATTTTCTTATGCTGTTCAATCTGCTTCTCCTTCTTCTCGTAATAATCCATGATTTTCACCCGATGGGTTTGCACCAGGCGGCCTTTTTCGATGTTAAACTCTTCGTCTCCCTGAAAGCAAACATCCCGGTCCGTTACGGGTCGCTGTGACGGAAGTGGTCCGCCTGAGCTGAACGTCCGTTACCTTCGCTAAGATCTCCTCGACTCGCTCGTTGGCCTCCTGCTCGATGAAGGCCATCATGTGTTTGATCTGCCGCCACAAGACACAAAACAGCTGAAACTCACACAAATGTTTAACCTCAAGTCTGAATCTTTCATTTATTCCAGTGGCAGTCAAGTTGAAAACTACCAATGAAATAAGCAACATTTTCAAATCAAAAACCCATTTGTTTCTGCTAAATTACTGAATAAATAGACATAAGAGCTCAACAACAGAAATACTTATAA